CTGGCAAATGAAATAGTGTCTCAGGAAGCACTTGTCCTCTTTGGATAAGATCCGATTGAGGTTTCTGGACAGGTAGGTGCAGCTGGGGGGCTTTGGGGCCCCGTGGGCTGCAACATCTGCTGAGGGGAGATCAGACCCAGGTGAGCCTCATACTCAAAAGTCAGGCATTTAGATTTATTTTTTATTATTGTTTTCAACACAGATTCTCACTTTGTCGCCCAGGCTGGAATGCAGTGGTGCCATCTCCGCTCACTGCAACCTCCGCCTCCCAGGTTCCAGTAATTCTCCTGCCTCAGCCTCCCAAGTAGCTGGGATTACAGGCATCCGCTACCACACCTGGCTAATTTTTGTATTTTTAGTAGAGAGGGGGTTTCACCGTGTTGGCCAGGCTGGTCTCGAACTCTTGACCTCAGGTGATCCATCCACCTCCGCCTTCCAAAGTGCTCAGATTACAGGCGTGAGCCACTGCACCCGCCCCGCCAGGCATTTTTAAAAAGTAAATATGAAAGCCAAATTTGGCTGGCTTCCAACAGATAAAAATGTAGAATTTCCTCCCATACATTATAGTTTATTTTTTTGTATGTGTTCCTTACGACAAGGCTTAGTATTACTTTACCTACACATTAATGAGGATGATGAGAATGATATAATAATGGCTTGGATTTGTCTCTAAAACTTCAAGATTATGGTGCATAGCTTTGAAAACACTGTAAGAAAGACAATAGGTAGATAATCTTCCTCTTAGTTTTGTGTTAGAAAACTTAGAGATCAGAACAATGAAGAGATGTTTATTAGGAAAAAAATGACCACCAAAGGTTTCTGTCTTTCGAACCTAGCACAATTTTTTTTTTTTTTTGAGACGGAGTCTTTTTTTTTTTTTTTTTTTTTTGAGATAGAATCTTGCTCTGTCGCCCAGGCTGGAGCGCAGTGGCGTGATCTCGGCTCACTGCAAGCTCCGCCTCCCGGGTTCACGCCATTCTCCTGCCTCAGCCTCCTGAGTAGCTGGGACTACAGGCGCCCGCCGCCGCGCCCGGCTAATTTTTTGTATTTTTAGTAGAGACGGGGTTTCACCGAGGTCTCGATTTCCTGACCTTGTGATCCGCCCGCCTCGGCCTCCCAAAGTGCTGGGATTACAGGCGTGAGCCACCGCGCCCGGCAAACCTAGCACAATTCTTTTAGTGAAAGGTTAGGTAAGTTAACTTTAGATGGGTTCTAGGAAAAATCGCATCACTTTTGCTACACGGACAAATCAAAGGCTGTAGCACAAAATGGAAATATTTCAGAGGAAAGATGGTAATGAAGTAAAGTGATTGGTTTTTTTGTGTACAAAAGCAGAAAGATTAAGATTTTCTTTTTTTTTTTTTTTTTCTGTCCCAGAATAAAATATAAGAAAGTTTTCTTCATAAACACCAAACCCTAGAGTCTTACCTGGGTAGTTTTCACCTTGATGCTTTCTCAGCCGCATTACATTTTGCCCAATCCACCACTTCTCTCGTTCTTCCAGAAAGTCCCGGATGAGATCTTCAACTTCCTGGTTCCAAATACGAGCTAGGAATCCTCTCTGCCCATGACAGTAATTCTCTGCTTCCTCAAAGCTGCAGTGAAATCTGTTAAACTGGTAACAATTATTTTGCCCATGTGGCCCTGGGCTGTTTAGTTTACTTCCTAGAATGATACTTGTTCTGATGTATAACCAAAGCCAGCTTCCTCCTTTGAAGAACATATTCTCTGAATTGTAGCAAGAAAAAGTGTGGGGGTTTAGCAGCTGCCTGATCCTTTAAATATATATATTGATGGGCTTGTCTTATTAGTGTTCTTCTTTTATGAGTTGGGAACAATTTACCAAGGATACAAAAGGTTTTGTTTTGAGGACCCAGGTGCAGTTCCTACAAGCTGAAAACAAATAGCAGAGATCAATAAAGCAATGGCCCTTTGTGTCTGGGGCCCCACCATCTGTGTCTACCTACCAAATATGACTTTAGCAACTAGAGATAGATGATAAAGCTGAGTCTAAGCTGCACTGGGTAGAGGATCATGAATATCTAACATCTAAGTTAGTGTGGCTAAAAATTAATAAGTGTAGCTTTTTCTTTTCTGAGACAGGGTCTCATTCTGTTGCCCAGGCTGGAGTCCAGTGGCATGATCTCAGCTCACTGCAGCCTCGACCTCCCAGGCTCAAGGGATCAATCCTCCCACCTCAGCCTCTCGAGTAGCTGGGACTATAGGAGCGCACCACCACGCCCAACTCTTTTTTTTTTTTTTTTTTTTTTTTTTTAGAGATAGTGTCTTGCTATGTTGCCCAGGGTGGTCTCGAATTGCTGGGCTCAAGACACTGCTCGCCTTGGCCTCCCAAAGTTGGGGAATTACAGGTGTGAGCCACCACACTCAGCCATATATATATATATTTTTTAAAGAAAGTCATTCTTGGCCGGGCGCGGTGGCTCAAGCCTGTAATCCCAGCACTTTGGGAGGCCGAGGCGGGTGGATCACGAGGTCAGGAGATCGAGACTATCCTGGCTAACATGGTGAAACCCCGTCTCTACTAAAAATACAAAAAACTAGCCGGGCGTGGTGGCGGGCGCCTGTAGTCTCAGCTACTTGGGAGGCTGAGGCGGGAGAATGGCGTGAACCCGGGAGGCGGAGCTTGCAGTGAGCCGAGATCACGCCACTGCACTCCAGCCTGGGAGACACAGCGAGACTCCGTCTAAGAAAAAAAAAAAAAAAAAGAAAGTCATTCTTGCAGACCCTCTAGGATTATTTTATTTTTTTTTTTTCTTTGAGACAGAGTTTTGCTCTTGCTGCCCAGGCTGGAGTGCAATGGCGCCATCTCAGCTCATTGCAACCTCCACCTCCTGGGTTCAAGCGATTCTCCTGCCTCAGCCTCCTAAGTAGCTGGAATTACAGGCATGTGCCACCACACCCGGCTAATTTTGTATTTTTAGTAGAGATGGAGTTTCACCATGTTGGTCAGACTGGTCTCAAACTCCTAACCTCAGGTGATCCACCCACCTTGGCCTCCCAGAGTGCTGGGATTATAGACATGAGCCACTGCACCTGGCCTCATTTTTTAAAAAAGTAAATTGTATTGTGTATATTTAAGGCACACAGCATAATGTTATGGGATACATATAGATTTTAAGAAGGTTACTATAGTAAAACAAACATATTCAACACCTCACATTAGTTACCCACTTTTTTTTTGGTTTTTGTGGCAAAAGCAGCTAAAATCTCATCCAGCATGAATCCTGTCTACTGTATGGTTTTATTACCTGTAGTCCTCAGGGTGTACATTAAATCTCTCGACTTGTTCATCCTACATCTCTACTACCGCCAGGACTGATTTAAATTACTGTATTCTGTCTCTTCAGTACGTGCAAACAGAACTAGACATAAACTCTTTTTTTTTTTTTTTGATATGGGGGTCTCATTATGCCACCCAGGCTGGAGGGCAGTAGCGTGATCATAGCTCAGTGCACACTTGAACTCCTGGACTCAAACAATCCTCTCACCTTGGCTTCTCAAACTGCAGGTGTGAGTCACCGTCCCTGGTTCATGAACTTATCTTAAAGCTCTTACACAGTCATAAAGACCAAACAATATTAAATGGAAGAATGAATACAAAGTAAATACAAACAAAACTAAAAACCAATGAGATCCATGTTTTGCCAAGCTCAGTAGCAGACAAACAGGGTTCTGGCCTACGACTACTCAGGTTTCTTTGAATCTGGCATGCATGCTATTTTATGATATGGGGAGGATTCAGTTCTGATAACACGTTTCTTTATTTGACTCACTAAAAAAAAACAAAAAAAACCCCAACAAAAAAACCCTTTGTTCACACAGCAGGTCATTTGGTCTCCACCTGTTGCATACCCACCCCGTGGATTACAGCTGGTTCTTTCTTGGTGCCAAAAAGTGATCATAAACTCAAGCAAATGTGGGCACTGAACCACTTGGCAGGTTTCAGGGTTAAGATGGTTATCCAGATAGTGCAAATGATGCTTATGTTACTCTAAAAATCAGTACAGGAGTGGCCACCAACCTTATGAAATTCTCTAAAACACAGACTGCAAGAATACATCCTGTTTGGAAAACACTGCAGTAATCAGCCAAGGCCAGTGGCTCACGCCTGTAATCCCAGTGCTTTGGGAGGCTGAGGTGGGCAGATCACTTGAGGTCAGGAGCTTAACACCAGCCTGGCCAACATGGTGAAACCCCGTCTCTACTAAAAATACAAAAATTAGCCGGGCTTGGTGGCCCGTGCCTGTAATCCCAGCTACTCAGGAGGCTGAGGCAGTAGGATCACTTGAACCAGTTGGCGGAGGTTGCAGTGAGCTGAGATAGAGCCACCGCACTCCAGCCTGGGCGACAGAGCAAGACTCTGTCTCAAAAAAAAAGCCCCAAAACCAAAAAAACCAAAACACTGCAGTAATCAAATGAAAGATAAATACAGTATGATCCTCACTTTCAAAAAGTCCAATTAAGGAAGAAAAGGCATAGTAATTGTAATTAATATAGGCAGTGAAAAGTGCCAGCCTAGAGGGACAGCTTAGGTGCTGCTGTGAAGGTTCAGATAAGGAATAAATGACTTCCAGCTTTTGGAATGAACACATAAAGATGGCAATATTTAGACAGATGAAATGGACATCTCAGCAGAGGAGTCGATGTGAATAAATGCACAGAGGTGGGAAAGTGGAAGGTATTGATAAAGAGAAAGAAATACGTGTGTGTGTGTGTGTGTGTGTGTGTGTATGTGTAGGGGGTACTTGGTGGAACAGCAGTGGGAACTGTAACCAGAAAATGGGAGTGTTTCCAATGCCAGGATAAAGGGTTGCAGTTTATTTGGAAGTTTTCTGGGCAGAGTAGTCCACCCTTACAAGAGTGTGTGGCAATGGAATCATCTGGATGTGGGATGCTTCTGTTTTCAAAGTTCACAGAGCCTCAACTTCTGAACATCTTCATATACGTACAAAAATAAATACACGATACATCCACACGTGTTTCAAGCTTTTTCTCCAGATTAAAAAATGATACTTTATTCTAACTTTTAAAATTGCAGAACGTCAGGCTGAATATCATTAGACACATACACAAAACCACTCATTTCTAAAGTCATCTTCTATACCCTCTCAAAATTTGGCCAATGAATTATGCCTCAGGGAATTTTCCAGTTCAACCCCATAACATAAATGGAAACACTAGCCTTTTGGTTTTGCCCACAGTTCCGAAGTGCTATTACAGGTGGAGTATATGCTGCAGGAGGTCATTCTTGCTGCTGTGGGTGTGAGTAAAATGTCCGTCTGTAGGCCTCTGGTCTTGCAGGCTTTGTTCTCTTTCTCCTCATTTTGTCTCCTTCTATGGGGGTTGCCTGACATACTGCAATCAAAAGGCATCTTCTGCTCAGAATCACAACAGATAGTGAGAGGTTCAAGTGAGAAGTAATGTTACACAGTAAGTTAGTGAATTTACAATAAGAAATTGAACTCTGGGGTTACAACTCAAATATGATTTCAAGGTAAAGAAAGTAATTACTTGGCTGGCTGGTGAAATGCTTAGTTCCTTCTAAAATCATAATTGCAATATGGACTTCTGCTTCATGCTGCATCCCAAGGCACCAGTCAGGTAACCTACATCTCCCAAATGATCAACAGAGCATTCCTTCCTATTTTACCCTCAGTGCTGAGAAATTACTCCTGAGCCCAGAAGTTGTTGCATAGGTGACTTGGGTGACCTGGTGCTCAGGCAACAACTGCTACAGGCCCCACCTTGATGAACACCATCGATTTCTTTAAATATGATGATACTAAGATGGAGTCCCCTGCTCAGAGGAAGCAAGGACATAAAAGCTGGGACAGGCTGCACGCAGGGTCACTATACTAACAGACCCAGATGACACGATGGAACGTGAATACTGAAGCCAACAATCTTCTGGAAATCTCTTTTTCAAAACTCATACACCATTTTTTCTAACCGGGAAATCAGGGACAGGGAAACATTCGCATAATTACCCATCAACATGTTCTTCTTAACAGAAGTGAAGATTATTTTAAGAATATGAAAAGTGTTTCAAGACACCTGTTTTCAGGGATAGACCCCACAGCAACAGGAGTACTTTTCAGAGTTAGTTCGTTTTAAAGTCTATCTCGAGAACAAGGGCAGCTGGCTTTCACAAGGTACCAAGACATGTTCTAGCCAAAACATTTTCACTTTAAGTTATATGCAGTCAAGTTCAACTATTTTATACGTATCTGATCCTTTTCTGTCAGCAAAAAAGGTAAAATTTTTTTAAAACTCCAAAATCAATCATTTCTGGGTAGGATGAAGGTAGAATTTTGGTTGTATTTTATATTTCAGAACACAGATGAAACCAAAAGGTCTGCAATTGTCTCTACATTCACATCTTTCAAAGGTCCTTTTCTCCTTTTATATGAATTCATCTAAATCACTGCCATCCTGATTTGAAGACATATTTTCAACTTTCATTCGTGATGAATAGCTCCTAAGTTCATCCATTTTTCTCTTCTTCATTTTTTCTTTTTCTCTCTTTTTCATTTCCTGAATTTGGGCTTCTTTCTCATTCTTCTCTTCACAATCTCTGCATTCTTTCTCTGCTGCTAGGTCTGGGAACCGCTCCACTTTGCTTTTTTCTAATTGGTTTAGGATCTCATTTACTTTCTTCTCCATTGTCACAATTTTTACATCCTTCTGCCTGTGAAATACTATCTGCCCCACATCCACGTCAGCTGTTTTCTTCAGATTAGACCACAGCATATATACCACATTAACGTTGTTCATCTTGCAGCCTTGAATGCTATTGGCCTTCACAAGGTGGGCACAGTCTATCAGCACTTCCTTTGGAATGTCTTCTATATTCTCTCCCTTATGCAACCGAAGGTACACATGAGCCAAAGAGAGTTTGGCCACATGAAACCAGATATATTGAGGCCAATCATGCTTAATCAGATCTTCATGATGATTTATGGGTTAGTAGGAGAGATATAAAACTCAAGGGCAAGCGCGGTGGCTCACGCCTGTAATCCCGGCACTTTGGGAGGCTGAGGCGGGTGGATCACAAGGCCAGGAGATCCAGACCATTCTGGCCAAAATGGTGAAACCCTGTCTCTATTTCAATTTATCCTTTCCCGTGTAAATAGTGCAGGCAGATGAATTAACGCTGCTGCTGGTGAAGTAGAACACCATGATCCTGGCGGCGGTGCAGGGACTCCAGCACGGAGCAGCTGTGCTCAACTGCCGCGGCCGCCTGGTCCCCGGGACTCTCCTCTTTTTTTTTTTTAATGCATTACGGAAACTTTTAAATGTGATTTTTGTACATAAGGAGTATGAGAGTAACCCTTTTACAAATGAACCTAATTTACTAGAACAAACAATGACAAAACTGAACTGATATTTGATGTGAATCCATAGGAGTTTAAGCTTCAAATCCAGCCAAGAAGTTTGTTACAATCTCCGTCAGCTTTGCATCTGAGTCTTCCGAGATCTTTCCATCAGCCCTGACAGTGCCCAGCAGGGCTTAGTGCTGGCTGACAACATGAGACAAGAAAGCATTCTCAAATTTTGTAATCTTGCTGGGCTCCAGTTTATCAAGATACCCCCTTTACACCCACATAGATAACAGCCACTTGTTCTTCAGTAACCATGGGAGAACACTGTCCTTGCTTCAGCAACTCAGTTAGACGCACACCACGACTCAAAAGTTGAGTGGGAGCATTGAGGTCAGAACCAAACTGGGCTACTCAGGAGGCTGAGGCAGGACAATGGCGCGAACCCGGGAGGTGGAGCTCCTAGTGAGCTGAGATTGCACCACTGCACTCCAGCCTGGGCAACAGAGCAAGACTCTGTCTTAAAAAAAAAAAAAAAAATCCCCGCAGTAAACCACACTCCAACAGGGCTGCACACTCAGGGTCTTGATTAGAAACAGTATTTAAAAAAACACCTCCACATCTGTTGCACCAGAATGCCAAGGTTTAACCAGGGACACTTTCCCCAGGAGGCATAACAGGTGCAGGGCCAGGGAAGGGCCTCTGACACTTTTAGGGTCTCAAGAAAATGGGTTTTTTTTTGGTTGTTTTTCTTTGTTTTTGAGACAGAGTCTCGCGTTGTCGCCCAGGCTGGAGTGCAGTGGTGTGATCTCAGCTCACTGCAACCTCCACCTCCTGGGTTCAAGCGATTCTCCTGCCTCAGCCTCCCAAGTAGCTGGGATTACAGGCGCCCGCCACTACGCCCGGCTAATTTTTTGTATTTTATTTTATTTTTTTAGTGGAGACGGGGTTTTGGGTGTTGACCAGGTCTCGAACTCCTGACCTCAAGTGATCCGCCTGCCTCGGTCTCCCAAAGTGCTGGGATTACAGGCGTGAGCCACCGAGCCTCAAGAAAATGTTTTAATTTCCTTAAAAAACCTTAAGAAAAATCAACTTTTAAGTTGAAAAACTTTATATATTCACATATTCATCTTTATATCAACACAGCAGTAAAATTCATTTTTTAAAGTGATAAAAACTGTACAAATATTTCTGGTGTGAAACACAGCGTTTTGATGTCTACACTAAAACAACTTCAGGAAGGGGCCCACAAAAGTCACAACGCGGCCCCGGCAGAAAGGCAGAAAGGCACCGGTGTGTGGCACGACCTCAACACCTGTCTTCCTCACAGAGCCTCGACGCCTAGCGGACTCTCGGATTCGAGGCTGCGGTACCACGGACAAACCCCGCGCAGCAGCTTCTCTGCCAACCGCCGGCGACGAAGCGGCAGACCGTGAGCAGGGCGGGCGGAAGAGGTGTGGCCGCCGCTACTGCGCACGCGCACCCAACCAGAACCTGGGGTGATGCCGGGCCTTCCCCGCTGCGCGGAGGCGACCGCTCAACCCTTCTGCCCGGCGATTGGTGGGCTGGCGGCTAAGGGGCGGAGATAGGAGGGGCCGCTGCCATCTTCTCCAATGGAACGGAGACAGGGGCGGGCTTATTGACGGAAGGAGCATGGCGTGGAGACACCTGAAAGTGAGTCTCGCGAGTGAGCAGTGTGTATCGGGAACCGGGGGTCCGGGCGGGCAAGAACGGAGAGTCAGGCCGGGCGAGGCATGGACCGAAGGCGGCTCCGGGAGAGTGGGCCCCCCGGGACGTGTGCGTGTTTCCGGGGACGCCTGTAAATGCTCGCGCGTGTGCATTTGCACGTGGACTCGGTCAGGCGTGAGCAGACAGCGCCTGCAGGTCTGGATGGGTGCTGATGTGAGTGTCTGCGTCTGGGCCATGTTTTTGAGCCTGGCACAGGGGTGCTTAGTGAACACATGACCGCCTAGCGTTGTGTGCAGGATCCAATGGGGAATGAAACTAGAGTAGGACATGGTCCCAGTCCTTTTAGGTAAAGTTTTGTTAGGGCGAGGGGCTCTATGTGAAAAGTTCTTAGTTGTATCCCCGTATGTAGTAGGTGTTCAAATATTTGTTGATTGGCATGGGGTTGGGGGGTGGAGGCGTGCAGTCTCCAAGGGAGGCAATGAAAACCTTGAGTCTCTTTTTATTTATTCATTTGAGACGGAGTCTCGCTCTGTCGCCCAGGCTGGAGTGCAGTGGAGCGATCTTGGCTCACTGCAAACTCCGCCTCGCGGGTTCAAGCGATTCTCCTGCCTCGGCCTCCTGAGTAGCTGGGATTACAGGCGCGCGCCACCACGCCTGGCTAATTTTGATATTTTTAGTAGAGACGGGGTTTCACCATTTTGGTCAGGCTGACCTCGTAAGCCTCCCAAAGTGTTGGGATTACTCCTGACCTCGTAAGCCTCCCAAAGTGTTGGGATTACAGGCGTGAGCTACCGCGCTCGGCCTGAGTCTCTTTTTAAAATAAATATATGGAGAGAGATGGGATCTCACTGTGTTGCCCAGGCTGGTCTAGAACTATTGGCCTCAAGGGATCTTCCCGCCTCAGGCTCCCAAAGTAGTAGGATTACAGGCGTGGGCTACCGCACCCAGCCAATGAATACTTGATCTACATCTCTTTAACAGTTTGGAAGGATCTTTAAAAGCAAATCTGATCATGTCATTTCCTGGCTTAGGGAACAAAACCCACATGTTGATTTTGGCCAAACTCCTGCTCATTTCTCCTGTTTCGTCTTAAGCCTTACTTTCCCTCACTCCTCTGTTCCAAACTTTCTCCCTTTCTCATTCTCTTCTGCTACTGAGAGAGCCTTTACACTTTTTCCTCTCCCTACTGCCTTCTGGTTAACTTTTTAAAAATAATTGAACCAGAATAGGTTCAAAGAGACTCCCAACAATTCGTTTATCCCTTGAGTATCAGCTTTAAGTCATTTCCTTAAGGAAGCCTTTCCTTACCTCTAAGATTAGGTTGAATACTTTCATTACCATATACTTTTTATCCTTCATCACAGTTGCCATGACTGTGTATTTGCATGATCATTGATTTCTGTCTGTCGCTTCATAAGATCACACTCTCCATGATGGTAGGGGCAAGATCTGTTTTGCCATCTTTGCTCAATCAGTATTTGATGAATGACTGAACTAATGAATGAATAACTCAGCATCTGGCAGTGATAATTAGAGAAAAGCATCGTGAACCACTTTTGATCCAATAAGATCTGAAGCTTCTGTTTTATATTTTACACCCCCTGAAATGGAATATATGTATAATATCTTTGTATGTATACAAAGATATTTTGTACACATACAAAATATGTATACATGGCTGGGTGCGGTAGCCCACGCCTGTAATCCCACTACTTTGGGAGCCTGAGGCGGGAAGATCCCTTGAGGCCAATGGTTCTAGACCAGCCTGGGCAACACAGTGAGATCCCATCTCTCTCCATATATTTATTTTAAAAAGAGACTCAGGCCGAGCGCGGTAGCTCACGCCTGTAATCCCAACACTTTGGGATACTCTCATTTTTGAGAGAGTCTTCACTCCATTGCGCAGGTGGAGTGCAGTGGCACGATCCCAGCTTGCTGCAGCTTGGACCTCCTGGTCTCAAGGGATCTGCCCACTTCTGCCTCCCAAGTAGCTGAGACCACAGATGCACCACCATGCCTGGCTAATTTTTTATATTTTGTAGAGATGGGGTCTCACTCTGTTGCCCAGGCTGGTCTCAAACTCCTGAGCTCAAGCAGTCCTCCCACTTCAGCCTCCCAAAGTGCTGGGATTACAAGCATGAGTCACCAAGTCCAGCTATGTGCAATTTTTGAAAGCCAGCATAATTAATACCCTAAGTGGAATATAAAGGAGAAAATTTAAAAGTAGTTTATATTAATAAAATTACATGTATTTCAGTATGTAAATATTGCTGACTCCCCTAGTGAGATAGTTGTGTTTAAGCCTCTACTTAGAAATGCAAGTGCACAGGTGTGTTACATTATCAAACACCGCAGCAAAGCACTGTACCATTCCCGATGAGATTTTCTGAAATGAACAATTCTTGGGAATGTTCTATGCAACACTGTATAGTTGTCCCTCAATTTACAAGATACTTGTACTGTATGTGAAAACCATGTGAAGACTGGGCACTGTGGCTCATGCTGTAATCCCAGCACTTTGGGAGGCCAAGGCAGGAGTACTGCTTGAGCCCAAGAGTTCTAGACCAGCCTGGGCAACATAGCGAGACTCCATCTCTTCAAAAAATTGGCTGGGCTTGGTGGCATGTACCTGTGGTCCCAGTTATTTGGGGAGGCTAAGGTGGGAGGATTGCTTGAGACCAGGAAGTCAAGAAAGACAGTTTATATGGTAAAATAGAGTTTGGCTCAGATAATATGAACATATAATTTTTTACGCACATGAATGTCAGTAGGATGTTCAAAAGTCACACAGGAAATGGGGCAGTTCATGTCAGATAGTCTCAAGCCGAGAAGGATGTCTGACTTTCCGGATTCCTGCCTACCACGTCTATTAGCATTACCCTGTCACTGTAACCAGTAGTAGTGTCCACCACAATCCCCCTAGAGGACAGTATGGTGCCTCTTGAAATTTCTGGCCTGAGAGTCCCAGGAAAGCCTGTAGGACCTGAAGAGGTGTGTAGGCAGAAGTGTCAATACAGCCTCTGACTGTAGAGGCCAGTGTTAGCAGAAGGCTAAGGGCGTCTGTTTCATGTGACCTGCCGTTATGCCCTCTGTGTGCCTGGGTGTGAAGGGCTCAGGGAGGGTGCTGCAGCCTGGCCTGGAGGGCCCCCCAATAGGCTCTTTTTTTGCAGAAGCGGGCCCGGGATGCTGTGGTCATCCTGGGGGGTGGAGGACTTCTCTTCGCCTCCTACCTGATGGCCACGGGAGATGAGCGTTTCTATGCTGAACACCTGATGCCAGCTCTGCAGGGGCTGCTGGATCCGGAGTCAGCCCACAGACTGGCCGTTCGCTTCACCTCCCTGGGGCTCCTTCCACGGGCCAGATTTCAAGACTCTGACATGCTGGTAGGTGTTCTGGATACCCTGTGCATTAAATACAAAGGTGAAGGCTGAAGTCCCTAAACTTCTCAGCCAGGACTGATCTTTTTGAACACCAGAACCTCAAGTGAGCAGTGGATATTTGGAATTCAGTCTGAGCATTATTTTTTTGTGTCATGTAATTAGCAATGATGATTATCTATTACATATATGGGATTGTGTTAGGCGATGTTCTTGTTTGATCCTCCCAGCTACTGCATGAGCTGATCTGTTACCATCCCCAGCCATGGATCAGGAAACCAAGAAACAGAGTAAGGAATAACAAAAAGGAACTCCAGTCACACAGCTAGCGGGTAGCAGGACCAGGATTCAAATCCACGGAGTCTGACACTGGCTTCCTGCCCCTTGGCCGCTGTCCTGCCTTGCTGAGGTTGCAGGTAGCTCAGTCTTCCCCTCGGCTAAATGGGGAAACTGCCAGTCATTGAGCACCGTGCGAGACAGGAGCGTTGGGTCCCAGCCTCACTCAGCCGCATGTTCAGCCCACAGGCCCTCTCCACATGCTTGAAATCTTTGGCCTAGAGTCCCAGGAAAGCCTTTAGGGCCGGAAGAGGGTGTGTAGGCAGAAGTGTAGATACAGCCTCTAACTGTAGAGGCCAGTGTCAGCTGAAGGCTAAGGGCCTCTGTTTCATGCAACCTTCCGGGCTTAGTGCAGCAAACCGAATAGAAGAATCCCCATCCTCATAGAAGCTGCTTCCTCATGGAAGTCTCGGCAGTTTCCTTTTGAGAGGCTTCTTATCAAATGGGAGGACATCGGAATGATTTGAGTGTGAAAATGCAAACAAGAAGCCCTCAGAACTCTGGTGAGGAAGGGTCACTGTTACAAATTAAAGGGGCCTTCACCGCATTTCCCCTTCCGACCTTAGACTCCTTTTCACTCTGATTGTATGGTGCTGAGCAGATGTGTCATTTCCCCTGACTCGCCATGCTCACACAGTAACAGGCACTGTAGGCTCAGACAGAGCACTCCGTTAAACCGTCCTCACCCCAGACTGCTAGTTTGAGAGCCCTGGAGTGAATGGGAGTGAATAATGAGTGGGATGCAGAGATGAGGAGAATTTAGAAGGAAGTGTGTGCCTGAGGGCGCAGGCTGTGTCTGTGTAAACACAGATGACAGAGACAGGCAAACCTGACCTCGGAGGTGTTGTCCTAAACACCGCTGCCTGTGCCCACGCTTGCAGTAGCTCATTTAGAATGTGACTCAAACTTTTTAACTGGTAGCCAGGACTCTTGATGATTTCACAGCTTTCCTGGTTTAACTCTCCACCCTTCACCTACGTCAGGCATGTTAGAATCCCCCGGGGTTGCATTTGGAGTATCCAGATGCCCTGGCCTGGTGCCAGACCAGTTTCACCGCCACATCTGAGAGTGGGACCTGAAAGCTGCCAGGGGCCTCTGTGGTACAGCCGGAGCTGAGAACCGCAGTCCTGGAGGAAGGCCCCTAGTCCAGCCACACACATCTTGCCTCCCAGTCTCCTGAGGTGCTGCGAGCATTCTCACCTTCATTTGTTGTTCTTCTTTCTTGGAGCATCTCTCTTAGCCCCTGCTTCCGGGATCCCACGGTGTTCACCCTGGGAGGCCTTTGCTAGTCTCCTGAAAGGTCGCTGGAGCCCATCAGTCAGTTCTGCCCAGCTGAACACCTTCCTTCCTTGGGTTCCCCGTGGGAGGCTGGGGGTCGTGGCTGGGGCTTCTTACCAGCCTGGATGAGGAGGGACACAGGTGGAGCTGATGTTTATTAAGCTGATTAAAGAGTTTGCTGCTTACCATGCCTTGGTTTCAGGGAAGCACTATCTAGGGCCTGACACCAGCGAGCTACTCTCTCCCACCAAGGCTAGTTGATAAGAAGGTATGAACCTTAACCACAACTGGGAAAGGCAGCGCTTGTCTCCTGTTCAACCCATGGTGGAAACACCATTTCTCCCCCCAGGCTTGCTAATAATAAAGCCCCGTGGTTTTCAAACTCTAGTAGGTGTCACAGTCCCCTGGAGAGCCAGCACTGTTAAAAATAGGTTCCCCCAGTGCTCCATTCCTCCCCCAAAGATTTTGACCTTGGGGGTGGGCCCTGGGATCTGAGGTTTCACAAGCTTCCCAGGTCATTCTGGTGTAGTCGTGCCAGGAACCATGCTTTGAGAAACACCGGGATAGCCTTGCATGCCTCTTACTTTGTCTTCCTCTTCCCAGGAAGTGAGAGTTCTGGGCCATAAATTCCGAAATCCAGTAGGAATTGCTGCAGGATTTGACAAGCATGGGGAAGCCGTGGACGGACTTTATAAGATGGGCTTTGGTTTTGTTGAGATAGGAAGTGTGACTCCAAAACCTCAGGAAGGAAACCCCAGACCCAGAGTCTTCCGTCTCCCAGAGGACCAAGCTGTCATTAACAGGTAGGTGAGCGGCCCAGAGTTCATGGGGGATGCCCTCTTTCCAGCTGGGCTTTCAGAGATGTAAGATCTGCCTCTGTTTTTTTTCTCTCATATAATGTGGACATTCTTCTGTCATTTAGAATGTTCAGGAACCCCGTTCAGCATCTACTATGTGCCCCAGGCATCTATCTTGAAAAGCAGGCTTTGTTACGTCCATTTAACAGTTGCGTAGACGGACGCTTGTAGAGCCAAATAACTCCGCTTCGGTCACGGAGATAATAAGCAGGAGAGCTTGGGCATGGCCTGGGCTTACTGGACTTGAGAGTTTGTGCTCTGTCCATGCTGTTTCTCCAGTGCTCTTACTCGACACTGTCCAAGAGAAATGTAATGTGAGCCCATGTGTAATTTAAAGTGCTCTAGTGACCACATTAACACAGTAAACAGAATGAGTGAAATTGATACTTACTTAAAATTATAATTTAGTTATATTTAATGTTACAAGTATTTAAAAAAACATGTGTTTAAAACACCATAAAAAGTATTAATTCGCTGTTTTTACCTTCTTTTGCCTGTACCAAGTCTAAGAGCCAGTGTGCATTTTACTTCCAGCACCTCTCCCTTTGGACCAACTGCATTCCCAGCATCCAGTAGCCACATGTGGCCAGCAGACGTGTATTGGCCAGCACAGCCCCAGCCTTTAGCAAACAGGAGAATGTAACATTCAACATGCACAGCTGCTCTTAGTAAGAGAAATCCTTCTAGACTGTATAAAGCTCTTCCCTTTGTCATCCCTGGGTAATTTTTACTGCAGCAAACCCAAAAGGTGAAGAAGTGCCTACTTTTTGGGAAGAGGATTTTGAAGAGCCTCCTTGGGGAGATTTCGATGGGCATCTTTGGGGTCACTGGTGGCCTCCTGGGAGATGGACCTGTACGACATTTACTTGGCCGTGCTTCCTGCTTTCTTGTGCTTGTTTCAGGGAAAATCTGCAGCATTAGAGATCAAGTTATCGATCTTTCTGCTGCATTGCAGGTGGGGATCAATATCTTCAGAATTGGCCAGGCAAAATATATTTGCTTATCATTCAGCTGCTACAGATAACTGCAGGTGCTGGGATGATGGTACTTGGTGAATTCTATAGGTGAGCAGGGGTGTGAGATCGTGCTCTGAGCACTGCGTGTGTGGCCTCCTGGCTGCGTGGCATGTGGTGAGTGTGCTGTAAATACTTGCTGAATGAATGGGTGAAGTTATTAAGTCATCAAATATGTGTGCCAGTGTGTCTATTATAGATGCTTTTGGCTCTAACAAAGTGGCTTAAACAACAGGCACATTTGATACTATTTTCTTCTCATAACAGGTGCAATGGGCAGGCCCAGGGTTGGTTGAGCACTAGGGCAGTGTTGAGACTGTGGTCCAACTTCTTTGGGCCTTCCCTTTTTGCTTGTCAGAGAGTGACCTCGGCTGCGAGTATTACGTTCTTACACGGATGCTCAAGAGCAGAAAGGAAAAAGGGCAGGGATGTTCTCAGAGGCTCCAGTAGGCCTCACTTGTGTCTCAGGCACTCACTTTTGCTTCACTTGCCAGCAAGGCTGGGAAAGGAGTCATTAGCATTTTTACCCTGTATCAGGGCAGGTGGGTTTCACTGGCAAGGAGGAAGAGGAAGGGGACTGGCCACTAAGTCAACACCCACAGTGGGGCTGGGGATACAGGGATGAGGCCCCTGCCTTTGGGAAGTGTCTAGTGACAGTGATAGAGGGATGAGAGAGGTATGAGATGTTGCTTGCCCTCAAGAAGATCGTAACCTAGTATGGGACCTTAAGCACATATGTATGTGTCTATCCCGAGCCAGGAGAAAGGTAGGTCCAAAGCTCTGTATGAAGGCCAGGGGGATGAGGGATGTTTTGCAGCTGGGAGCTTTGTTCAGGAGAGGGAGCATTTGCTCTGAGCTAGGAAGAGAGGTGATTTTCACAGGCAGAAAGCATAGGGAGATAGAGTGGCTGCAGGGGCTTCAGGAGGCTGTTTGGGAGCCCAGGCAGGTGGCAAGTGAGTGTGCAGTTCTCAGAGTGGCTGGGTAAGGAGTGGGGATCCAGCAGGTCTGGGGCAGCTGCTGCTGCATCTGGGCTGTTTCCAATGCTAGTTGGCTGAGCATTTGCAAATTTTAATCTTTCCCCTGGGTATTGGATGGTGTTCTGGCAAGTTCTCTAGGAGCCCCAGGGGTCTTTAGACCCTGGAAGTGTAAGAACTGTGATTTTTTTTTCTCTTGTTTTAAAAAGTCCCAAGTGTACAGGAAGTGGCTGTGGTGCCCTCTCACTCTGCCCCTCTCATCTGCTTGTGGCTCTGCAGGTATGGGTTTAACAGTCACGGGCTTTCGGTGGTGGAACACAGGTTACGCGCCAGACAGCAGAAGCAGGCCAAGCTCACAGAAGGTAAAGTGGGTTGCGTCAGAGGGCCTTTCTTATTTATTAGGAGGAAACGTGGGAGAAACACTGGGAACATTTCTAGTGAAATAAACATGATTGAGCAATAGCAAAAACCACTGAGGACCTCAGGGCACCTCTCCTAGAGGGATTTTCCTGGTCCCACACACAGCCTCCAAGAGTTTAACTGGATTTCACAATTTAGCAAATACTCCCTTTGCCTCTGCCTCGTTATGTAACCTGTTACCGTAACTAGGGAGGCCTGAAAGCAAGTGAAGCGAAATGGCCGGGCTGTGATCACACAGGCAGGGAGGGCGGGAGCAGGACTTGAACGTCATCTTCCTGTGGCCCACTCTGTCCTCCCTTTTTAATTGTCTATTGTGTAAATAATGTTCATTAATTACAGAAGACAGTAAATACAGAGAAGCGTAAAGAAAGAAAGTTCAAGAAACGGATACTCCTCCCTACTCAAGGATAACTAATATTAGCATTTGGGAAAATATTCTTCATGAGTTGTTTTGGAAACTGCTCATTTTTGGCTCGACACAGTTCACACCTGTAATCTCAATACTTTGGGTGCCCAAGGTGGGAGGATCGCTTGAGCTCAGGAGTTAAAGACCAGCCTGGGCAACATCGTGAGATCCCATTTCTCTAAAAAACCAAAAACAATGCGCATTTTTTTTTTTAAATGGAGTCTCGCTCTCTCTCCCAGGCTGGAGTGCAGTGGTGCGATCTCAGCTCACTGCAAGCTCCACTTCCCAGGTTCATGCCATTCTCCTGCTTCAGCCTCCCAAGTAGCTGGGACTATAGGTGCCCGCCACCACGCCCGGCTAATTTTTTGTATATTTAGTAGAAGTGAGGTTTCACTGTGTTAGCCAGGATGGTCTCGATCTCCTGACCTCGTGATCTGCCCACCTCGGCCTCCCAAAGTGCTGGGATTACAGGTGTGATCCACCGTGCCCGGCCACAACATGCATTTTTGAAGGTGCCTCCGGCAATGCGGGTGTTCTCTGTGGCCTCTGCCTCACTCGCTCTCAGGATGCACTTAATGGTCACAGCCCTCTGTTGTCCTGACCCTGATGCCCCAGGACCCCGTGGATTGTGTGTGGGGGGCTGCGGCTCAGTAGCGACCACTGTCTTCTTTGGGTCCTTCTGAAACTCCTTCCAGGATGTCTTAGTCCCAGATAGTCCTGGTAGCAGGATGAAGAAACCAATGGATATGGGATTCACTTCAGGAAGTGAGGTGGAAAGGGCTGAGGCACTCAGCAGTGTCAGAATTGGGGAATAGGAAATTATCTTTTGGAAACCCCTGGCTTCGCTGGAAGCAGACCCCGCTGAACTGTAGAGCCGCCCACCTGGGGAGCTTTGGAGGTCATCACAGGACTTGCATGGTTTGTGATGCTTGCCTGCCTTCGTGTTTGCTTTTTCTTCTTGGTGTCTGCAGTGCAGTTTCCTGGCTTATCCCCTGTTCTTCCTCACCCAGCCCTCCCTTCCAGTGGCCCTCCTGGTCTATGGAGTGAAGCAGAGACTGCAGCAGGGCTCTGCACGGATGTGTCTGCCAGCAGCTTAGAGGCCTTCATGGCAGCTTGTTAGCACCATGCCAAGGAACATGTGTTGACAAAAGCTTTGGTGCCCTCTGGGGACAGAGTAATCCAGTAATTTCTGTCTAACTCCCAAATCTTGTCAGTTTGGGCAGATGACTCCTAATCCATTAGCTACATGAAAGTGATATTCTCCTTCAAGCCAGTTTACTTGTGTGGAAAAGAATTCAAGCTTACAAATGATCTGGGCTTGATAGGTGCTAGACTGGGAAGCTTGGAGACCTATGATAAACCTTTTGTCTAATTGGATTCTTTGTTTTTTTGAGACAGAGTCTCTCTCTGTTGCCCAGGCAACAGTGGTGCGATCTCAGCTCACAGCAGCCTCCACCTCCCAGGTTCAAGTGATTCTCCTTTCTCAGCCTACTGAGTAGCTGAGATTATAGGCGCCCACCACCACACCCGACTAATTTTTATATTTTTAGTAGAGATAGGGTTTCACCATGTTGGCCAGGCTGGTCTTGAACTCCTGACCTCAACTGATCCACCCGCCTCAGCCTCCCAAAGTGCTGGGATTACAGGCATGAGCCGCTGTGCCTGGCTTCTAATTGGGTGGGTTCTGATCCCCTCCTCCAGTCCCCACCCTGGAAAGTAGCTACACTATCTCATTTGCTAATGATGCGAGAGTGTGATTGGGGTGTGAGAAGGTGGTGAGCAGTACAATAGATGTTGTTCGATCCTCTCTGGCCTGACAACCCATTTTGTGAGCTACTTGGTGTTCTAAGTCTTTCCCCAACTCTCAGATGGAAAAAACAGCCTGTGCCATTGATGTACCACTCCTCATGCAGATAAGATAGTATCTTAGGAGAAGTCAAGTAGAGACAACCCTTTTCTTTTACACATAGTGTGTTTCTGAAAATGTATTTTTCTGGAGGTCCAAAATGCAAGTCCACTGATAGTCAGTCCCATGGATTTTTAAGTAAGCTGACCTCGTTGCATACATGTAAACTGAGACCCTCTTGAGAGTAAAAAAGGGCAGGTGCTAACAATGATGCCCAGGCTAGGGGAGTAATCAGGCTGTCCGGGGAAGCACCGAAGACACAGGGTCCCCTCAGTTATTATATGAGGGAGAGTCCCTTTCCTCAGACAACTAAAATTATAAGTTAGAAAACAATTACACCTCTACATTTTAGGCATGATCATTGAAAACATTTGGCCAGGCATGATGGCTCATGCCTGTAATCCTAGCACTCCGGGAGGCTGAGGCAGGTGGGTCACTTGAGGTCAGGGGTTCGAGACCAGCCAGACCAGAGAAGGGGTGAAAACCCTTCTCTACTAAAAATACAAAAATTAGGCCAGGCGCGGTGGCTCACATCTGTAATCCCAGCACTTTGGGAGGCCGAGACGGGCGGACCATGGGGTCAGGAGATGATCATCTTGGCCAACATGGTGAAACCCCATCTCTACTAAAAATACAAAAATTAGCTGGGCATGGTGGCACATGCCTGTAATCCCAGCTACTCAGGAGGCTGAGACAGCAGAATTGCTTGAATTCAGGGGGCAGAGGTTGCAGTGAGCCAAGATTGTGCCACCACATTCCAGCCTGGGCAACAGTGAGACTCCATCTCAAAAAAAAAAAAATATTTTCCAGTATATATATATTTTCCAATATATATATATTTTGAGACAGTCTTGCTCTGCTGCTCAGGCTGGAGTGAGTGGCATGATCACGGTTCACTGGAGCCTCAATCCTACTTCAGCCTCACGAGTAAGTAGCTGGGACTACAGGTGTGCACCACCGCGCCCAGCTGAGTTTTTTAATTGTAGAGATGGGGTTTCACCATGTTGCCCAGACTGGTCTTGAATTCCTGGGCTCAAGCAATCCTCCACCCTTGGCCACCCAAAGTGCTGGGATTATAGGCATGAGCCACCTCACCTGGCCTGTTTTTCAGAATTTTATACATATTCTTTCATTTTGTTTTTTCTTCACAACTGTACATCCAGTCAACTGAGCCAAGGCCAACAAGCATCCCTTGAGGTGAGCGTTGCCGGCCTGACGTGCCTACTGAGTTCTGTCTGTTCTGTTTTATTCAATTTATGAGGCCCATCTTTTGCCCCACAAGTATTTGCACTAATTTGTCCATTTTCCATGAAAATTTTTTTTAAAAAAGGGCAAAATGCAGCAAAACATCCTCGTAGCTGCCCCGACTTTGCTAGACAAAGCCGGTGAGTGATTTTGGTAGGCAGGCCCAGGCCGCAGCTGAGCACCTGTCAGCCGGTGTCGGGCAGGTCAGGTTTGGAGGGAAGACCTGCCCAACTGTCCGCCGTGGTTTGGTCAAGGACAGCCTCAGAAAGTGGCACAGGAAATGGTGTGCGGGCTGCAGGCCTGACCAGCGACGTTTGCAGATGGACTGCCGCTGGGGGTCAACTTGGGGAAGAACAAGACCTCAGTGGACGCCGCGGAGGACTACGCAGAAGGGGTGCGCGTGCTGGGCCCGCTGGCCGACTACCTGGTGGTCAATGTGTCCAGCCCCAACACGGCCGGGCTGCGGAGCCTTCAAGGAAAGGCTGAGCTGCGCCGCCTGCTGACCAAGGTGGGCAACTGCACCCCTTCTCCAGGCCCCGTCCCACCAGCCTGCCCCACCCGCTCCCCTTCATTCTCCAGGGTAAAGCTTCAGCATCACCCTCAGAAGCTGTCCTTAGCACCTGGACCAGTAGGACCCCTGGCTATGCCTTCCCAGGGTCCCCTCTGATCCCCTGTCATGACACTGATTATACGTGACAGTGACAAATTATCTGTCCCTGCTGCTGTAAACCACAAGGTCTGTAAGAGCAGAGACCGCGTCTCTCCCATTTGTCACTCTGACCCTAGCACCCAGAGCTCTGAGTGAACTGAAGGACTTCACCCAGTACTTGTGGTAATATTTCCTGGCTATCTTTTAGGAATGAAAGTCTAAAAAAGGCTGGGCATGGTGGCTCATGCCTACAATCCCAGCACTATGAGAGGCTGAGGCAGGTGGATTACTTATAGCCCAGGAGTTTGAGACCAGCCTGGGCAAAAGAGCAAGACCCTGTCTCTACAAAAAATTTAAAAATTAAGCCAGGCACAGTGGCTCAAGCCTATAGTCCCAGCTACTTGGAGGCCGAGGCAGGCAGATCACTTGCGCTCAGGAGTTTGTTTGTGACCAGCCTGGGCAACTTGGCAAAACCCCATCTTACAAGAAATACAGAAATTAGCTGGGCATGGCGGCGCACACCTGCAGTCCCAGGTACTCTGGAGGCTGAAGTGGAAGGATTGCCTGAGCCCAGGGAGGTGCAGGCTACAGTGAGCCATGATCATGCTACTACACTCCAGTGTGGGTGACAGAGTGCAACCTTGTCTCAAAAAAAAAAAGAAAGAAAAGAAAAGTCTGAAACACCCTTAAGCTATGAGCCAATGTCCATGGGGATCCCTTGGCCTAAAAGAATGGACTCGGATCCATCTCGTTAGTGCTCCTCACGTGTTTGAGGCTGGCTTTCCTGAAAAGGAGAAATTGTTCCTGCTTTAGTCTGATTGCTTTTGTGGAAACCGACTGACCTGCAGTGTAGGTCACAGCTGCACTGCGGGACTGCAGTCTGCAGCGTCCCCAGCTTTGGCCGTGTGTCGCCCTAGGTGCTGCAGGAGAGGGACGGCTTACAGGGAGCGCACAGGCCGGCAGTGCTGGTGAAGATCGCTCCTGACCTCACCGCCCAGGACAAGGAGGACATTGCCAGTGTGGTCAAAGAGGTTTGAGTCGGGGCCTGGGCCCAGGGTGTGCCTCCCATGGTCTGCAGAGGCTGTTTGGCCAGCTGGGTTAGCTCAGAATGGCGGCCTTTGTGATTTCCTCTCCTTGGTATTAAAGGCTGGTTTGGTGTCTGTCATGGTGTAACTCACCCTGTGGGCAAAAGCGAATGTTGGAATAAATGCTTGAAGGAGTTTTTCTCATGCCTCTTACTCTCTCTCCTCATCTGCATCCAGCAAGGTTAAGGCTTGAGCCTGGGTCCTTGGCCAGTCTTGACTGGGACTCAAAATTCTTTCCCTCACTCCTCTCTCCAGCCTGTCTGGACAGCGGGTCTCTGTGGCATAGGAGAGTAGTGGAAATAGCCTGAGCCTGGCCGTCATGGGTTCAAATCATGGTTCCACCACTTACTACCTGAGGGCCTCAGACAAGACACTATAATTGGGTTGTTTTAAGGACTGGACCATGTCCTAGGGGAATGCTGTGGGTGGTCAGTGTGTGATGGCTGCTGTTGTCACGTTATGGCTCATTCTAAAACTTGTTGAGGAAAAGATGAGTAGTAAGGTCTGGTGTAGCTCTTGCTTTGGGGGCTGTAGGTGTGGGTACCTGGCCCGGCTGCTGCCTCTGACCCCCAGAGGAGCGCCTCTGCGTCCTTCGGTGCCATGACTCATGGCTTTTTCTCCATCTCACACTGCAGTTGGGCATTGATGGGCTGATTGTTACGAACACCACCGTGAGTCGCCCTGCTGGCCTCCAGGGTGCCCTGCGCTCTGAAACAGGAGGGCTGAGTGGGAAGCCCCTCCGGGATTTATCAACTCAAACCATTCGGGAGATGTATGCACTCACCCAAGGCAAGGCTTCCGGCATCTGTGTCTTCAGATCTGCGTGTGGCTTGGGCTCCTGGGTCCTGATGGGAATCATCATTCCCTAATCTGCCTTGATTGTGGGGGACTCTGAGGCGGAAGCCATATCCTTCTTTACAGTGTCACCATGTGCTTCTCTGTAGGCCGAGTTCCCATAATTGGGGTTGGTGGCGTGAGCAGCGGGCAGGACGCGCTGGAGAAGATCCGGGCAGGGGCCTCCCTGGTGCAGCTGTACACAGCCCTCACCTTCTGGGGACCACCCGTTGTGGGCAGAGTTAAGCGGGAGCTGGAGGCCCTTCTGAAGTGAGTGAGGCTTGAAATAGAAGTTAGGCAGAGGTTAATTCAGAATCACTCAAGTCAAGGAGATACTGTTGATCTGTTTCTTACTCATTCAAAAAGGAGTTGAGGGGTATACTCTGAAAGGGGAGAGAAACTCTGGGTTACTCTTTTGATGAAGGACAAACAGTGCCAAGGAGAACTGAGGATTAACCTCCAAGGCAATGGTGTTTCTACGGCGGAGTTGTACATTTGCTCGAGGAAGAAGAGCCTAAGGACTCCCGTCAGCATTCCCATTAATTAAACAACACTGGTTCGATGTTGGGAGCTGTCAGTACTTAAAAGCACTTTCCTTCCTGCTCTGTTCCTACCTGGGTAGAACCATCCCTGTGTCCCTGGGTGAAGAGTGTAGAGGAAACCAGATGTGCGTGGGCCGGGATGATGCCTTTCTGGGTGAATGTGGGCTTCCTGTAAGAGCAGGGCCTGTCCTCCACTGTTTGCTGAAATTGCTTTGTTTGCTCTTTTTCCAGAGAACAGGGCTTTGGCAGAGTCACAGATGCCATTGGAGCAGATCATCGGAGGTGAGGACAGCGTCTGTTGGGAAGCCTGATCTGGAACCTTCCCAAGGACTCAGGCAAGCCTTTATGGCTGGATTGTGAGAGGAGGGACTCTGTCTTGAGCCATGTCCCTCAGCCGTGGCATAGCTGCACCATAAACGCCAGTCAGGGGTCACCAGGATCAACCGCAGGCTTTCTTCAGTCCCTTGGTCAGACTATAAACTGTGTTTGTGATTCTTTGTGGATTCAAACCCTAGGATCCGTCAGTCTTGCAAGGACATTGAATATTAGGGGGAAAAAGTTATGGAAAAAATAAAGCCATTTAGAACCTGGGTTTCAACGCTAGCCCTTTCTGGTTTGCCACAGGCCCTGCCCAGACGCTGCAGGTCCTTCCAGGCCTCTGCTACCTGCATCTCCAGTGGGCTTCCCAGGAACTTGACTGTCTTTCATTTGATCTTTATTTTTATTTATTTAATGTTTTAAACTTTATTTTTAAAAATATTTCAAACATAAGGGCGGGGTATGGTGGCTCATGCCTGTAATCCCAGCACTTTGGGAGGCCGGAGTGGGCGGATTACCTGAGGCCAGGAGTTGGAGACCAGCTAGGCCACCATGGTGAAACCCTGTTTCTACAAAAAGTACAAAAAATTAGCCAGGCATTGTGGTAGGCACTTTTAATCCCAGCTACTGGGGAGGCCAAGGCAGGATAATCGCTTGAACCTGGGAGGCGGAGGTTGCAGTGAGCCAAGATTGCACCAGTGCACTCCAGCTTGGGTGACAGAGCGAGACTCCGTCACACACACACACACACACAAATTTTTCCCATTTCTCTCCCTCCCTCCCTCCCTCTATAACATGGATAAAATATTCACATGTATTACGTATTTATTGTTGTTGAGTCATTGGTGCCTTACTCTTAAGTGTTTCAGTCTGCATCTCCTAAGCATCCTGATACTAGTTTTTTGATTATAAAATTGACCTGCATTCTTTACTAGCAATCCAAACGGTACAGCACTCTTGAAGTGTAAACATTCCTGTTCCTCCTCACCCCACTCTGCAGACATGCCTTTCTGTCTATCCTCCTGGACTTTTCCCCCTGCATGAAGATGCTCATTTTGTACATACACTCAGACATATATGTGGCTGTATTTTTTTTTATACCTATATATGGATGGAATGCACACTGTTTTCTGTATAGTTACTTTACATTTTCATACAAATGACATCATCCTACAAATACGATTCTGCCGTTGACTTTCTTCACTATTCTCATGTGGGCATGGTTCATGCTGGGCCTCGGTCTTTTGAGTGGGGTCTATTTAGCCAGTCCCCTGTTGGTGATCACATCACTAACTTCCGGCATTTTCCTATCACCGTCGGTGCCTCGGTGAACATCTTGTGAAAGTGCTTGTGCCTTTGTTCCGGCATCAGTGCAGAGCAGGGTCCAAGGAGTGTGACAGCTGGGCTGAGGGGCTGGCATGTTTCACATTCTGATAGATAGAGCCAAGTTGCTCCTATCAGGTTTTCAAGCTGCCCATTTCCCACCGTGGAGACAGCAACAGAGGAGACAGCAACAGAGGAGACAGCCCCAGCTCCTCTGGCTTTGCCTGTTCAAAGCTACCCTGTGAGGCCTGAAGACAGCTGCCATGAAGGCAGCTCATGTCCACCAAACACTGACTGTGGGCCGCACGCTGTGCCAAGGGCTTGACGTTTCCTCTTTACAGATGAGGAAACGGGCAGAGAGGCAGCTGATTGTCCAGTCTCCTGCGTGGAGGCTGCTCGGCTGGGCTCAAGCCTGGCGGTGTTTTCACAGAGCATGTTGTGCTGAATGGCTTTGCCATGGACCAAGCCTTGGCTGTTCTAAAAGTTGGCTCATTGCCTCATGCTTCTCCATATTCGTTCCTTACTCCAGGAACAGCAGTGCACTGAAGGAGAAACGGGAATGGGCAAAAGGAGCCACATGCTGGCCAGTCCACCGCGGGGTCACTTTCCTCATCAGCCTGGGCTCCGACACGCCACGTCAGGTGCCAGCGCACACACTCTGGACACCCTCCTCGTTCTCTCTGGGCTTGGATGCTCTCTGTGAGTCACCTGCCCTCCCTTCCCCACGTTACAGGCATCTACCTTGCTCTGTCCCACCTAATAGCTTTAGGACTGAACGATTCAGGAAAGGGAAGGGAAGGAGTGGAGGAGAAGGGGGAAGAGTCGGCCCTTGGAAGGTTCTCCATGGGAGACTGACTTTTTTTCTTTTTTTGAGACGGAGTCTCGCTCTGTCACCCAGGCTGGAGTGCAGGGGTATGATCTCAGCTCACTGCCAACTCCGCTTCCGGGTTCGAGGGATTCTTCTGCCTCAGCCTCCAGAGTAGCTGGGACTACAGGCATGTGCCACCACGCCCTGCTAATTTTTGTATTTTTAGTAGAGATGGGGTTTCACCATATTGGCCAGGCTGGTCTCGAACTCCTGACCCCTTGTTCCACCTGCCTCGGCCTCCCAAAGTGCTGGGATTACAGGTGTGAGCCACCGCGCCCAGCTTCAGAGACTGACATTCTGCCTCAGCACAGCTGGAAGAGGCTGCTTGAGCACTGGGGTAAGGAGCTGTTTTGCATTCAGGTGCCATGTGGTGCAAGGATACCTTTTTTTTTTTTTCTTTTGTTTTCTTTTTTTTTGAGAGTCTTGCTCTGTCGCCCAGGCTGGAGTGCAATGGCACAAACTTGGCTCACTGCAACGTCTGTCTCCCGGGTTCAAGCAATTCTCCTGCCTCAGCCTCTCAAGTAGCTGGGATTACAGGTGCCTGCTACCACACCTAGCTAATTTTTGTATTTTTTAGTAGAGTCGGGGTTTCACCATGTTGGCCAGGCTGGTCTCAAACTCTGACCTCAGGCGATCTGCTCGCCTTGGCCTCCCAAAGAGCTGGGATTACAGGCATGAGCCACTGCACCCAGCTCAAGGATACCTATTTTTCTTAATGCTGGAAGCCACACTCAGACCCCAGAGCAGCTCTCAGTGCTGGGAGACCCGGGAGATTGATGATGCCTGCGTCTCCCTTTGGGACTGAGGATGGTAGAAGGGTGTGCAGAATTCCAAATGTTATTTACATTACTCGTGTGTTTTCTGTGGAGTGCATAATTGTCTTTGCTTGGCAATTTCATATCAGTTAAATATAAGCAGTAAGCTAATCCTATTCTGTGACTTACTCTTCTCACGTGTCATCATAATGATATACTTCAATATTCATCCCTCAGATCGGCCTTGCTCTAACAGCCCTGTTCACAGCATAAACGCATCAATGTTTGCTTATGGGTAAACACAAAGGATATTTTCAGGTTTCACATCAGACAGTGCTTCAGTGCTCAGGGCTTATGTATCTTTGTGGTCTTCTGGTAGAATTTCTGTAGATTCCCAGAAGTGGTATTGCTTGGGCAAAGGTTATACACACTGAACATGTTGATAGTTATTGCCAAATTGCCATGAGAGAGGGCTGTCCAACTTTGTCAGGGAGGGCCTCTTTCCTCTTATGTTGTTCCACATGGGAATTTCAATTTCACTGGTCTGGAACAAGCTGTTCTTCCTTCTCAACTTTTCCACTAGGAATAGCTTGCATTATGGCTCTCCCTTGGTTTAAAAAAAAAAAAAAAAACAGAGAGAGAAAAGAAATGGAGGTTTAGCAAGTTACTTTGGGCTGCAGCCAGAGTGATTGCCACATGCATTTCTCTGTCTCTTTTTCTCTCCTCTTTCCTACCATAGGCTCAGCTCTGTATCATAAAGGGCTGAGGTTCCTACGTGCACCAGCTTCCTTCAAAGGGGCAGATACGTCAGGTCATATACACAGTATTTTGAAAGAATCCATTTCCCCATTGACTTTCTGATAGGCTGCTTCTGGGTCAAGTTCTGTAGCCAATACCTTTTTTTTAAGACGGAGTCTTGCTCTGTCGCCCAGGCTGAAGTGCAGTGGTGCAATCTCGGCTCACTACAAGCTCTGTCTCCCCGGTTCACATCATTCTCCTGCCTCAGCCTCCTGAGTAGCTGGGACTACAGACGCACACCACCACGCCCGGCTAATTTTTGTTGTATTTTTTAGTAGAGACAGGGATTCACCATGTTAGCCAGGATGGTCTCGATCTCCTGACCTCATGATCCACCCGCCTCTGCCTCAAAGTGCTGGGATTACAGGCATGAGCCACTGTGCCCAGCCCAGTGATTCTCCTGCCTCAACCTCCAGGGTAGCTGGGATTACAGGTGCTGGCCACCATGCCTGGCTAATTATTGCATTTTTAGTAGAGACGGGGTTTCACCATGTTGGTCAGGCTGGTCTCAAACTCCTGACCTCAGGTGATCCACCTGCCTTGGCCTCCCAAAGTGCTGGGATTACAGGCATATCTAGTAGTTTTACTTATATATATTAACTATAATTTTAACTCTTAGTAGCCCTAATTTCTAGTGGAAAACTTAGGAAGTGATGTTGAATTATTTTATATCAGTATTTGTAGATGAAAACCATTTTGCTTCCTCAATTTTTTATTAACAGATCTAAATATATTGTTTTCTATACCATATAGGTGACTTAGACATTCTCTGATTACCTATTATTTAACATAGCATGATTTTAAGATTTTTAAATTAATAATATGAAAGGATGACACAGGTACCCTTCCTAATGTTTTTTTTCTGTTGTCTTGGGTCTCAGGTGCCCATGTGGCACCCAAGGACAGCTATGCAGGGCAGGTCTTGTTGGGGTCCCAAATTTACATACCAGGTATAGTGCTCAGGACAGGACAGAGTCGTGAAGATAATGCCTGGAGAATCCAACCCATCCCAGCACGGCAAGGAGGCAAAGCTAGGCCAGGGAGGATGGGGCCATATCGGGCTTGGTTCTGCCTTCACAGCTGGTGGTCAGGAACTGAGGACGTATCCCCAGGTCCCACCATGGCCAACCTGTCCAGACCCTAGAATCCAGATGCTCAAAACTGGAAGGAAGCTGACAGTAAGATATGTCCAAGGCTTTGGGGAGCCCAACAGCCAACCCTCATAGCTTTAGCTCACAGACAAAACAAGCAACAGTTTTATGACCTTACAACATCTACAGGCTGGGCGCAGTGGCTCACACCTGTAATGCCAGCACTTTGGGAGGCCGGGGCAGGTGGATCACGAGGTCAGGAGATACAGACCATCCTGGCCAACATGGTGAAACCCTATCTCTACTAAAAATATAGCTGTGCCTGGAGTCCCAGCTACTCGGGAGACTGAGGCAGGAAAACCGCTTGAACCAGGGAGTCGGAGGTTGCGGTGAGCTGAGATCGCACCACTGCACTCCAGTCTGGGTGACTGAGTGAGACTCCGTCTCAAAAAAACAAAAACAAAAACAAACAGAAACAAAAACATCTACAGAAACCACCTAAACCCGTCTGACCAGTACATTCAGGCAGTAAGTCTGAGTCAAATTTAATACCGACAATTCTGAAGACGTTTAATTTTATTTTGCCAACAATTTAAACTAATTTTATTTACCAGAGATTACTAGAGTCACATGAGCTAAAAAGCATTTGAGTTAGTTTCTATTTTTCTGATAAAGTATTTTGATTTAAGCACTTACTTTTTCATTAAGCTAACTAATTAGAGCTCTTTCGTCTATTTTGGTAGTGAAATATCACATACACGTGACACATACAAACATACAGACAGAAGAAGATTTTATAGCTTTACAAGATTCTTCATTTGCTAGTTTTCAAATAGTTTTTCTCCCCCCTGCAGACAGACTATCAAGCTCTAAGCAGTTCTTAGCTAGGCAACATGAAATTTGTACTTTCAAAGACAGAACTTTTTGGTAAAAATTTACACTTCAAAGACACAGAACTTAGATATAAACACCATTATTTGCCAAGACAAAAAGGGGTACGTAAAAGCCCAGTCAAGACAAGCTTTCCGGGAAAAGTATCTTAAACAAATGTAAGGTTTGTTATGTAAACTTTAAGACATCTTCCTTGTTGGAAAGTTTGTGGTGGTTTAAGTGTGGGGATGCAGATGCCCTTACAAATGGAGATTTTTTTACATATATACATTTATTTTACAAAGAATTTCAAAATAGCCAGCTAAATTCCAGAAAATAGTTTGGGGACCAATCTAATTAGATTGGTCTTTTTAAATTAGGTTGTTTCTTGATTAGATTATTGAGCCCTTTAACTGGGTGAAGGCAGCCTTTTCCATGCTTGGACTTAGGAAGTCTCTTTTTACCTCAGGGCCTATCTTTTATAAACACTTTCGTTAGCTTGTTTTTTTCTTTTGAACCAAAGGTACCTTTTCAAATAGTTCACCAAAAGCAATAACCCTTAACCAAGTTATGACTTGGTTAGTCAAAGATGAACCAGGCATCTCCAAGAGGTGGAAAAAAGCAGTCCTCACAAGATCCAGAACGACCCCAAAGTCAGCTCAAAGATAAAAAGTCTTTTTAGCCACAAATGGAATACAACCTATTCTTCTAACTGGCCATATTTTCTAGGATCTCAGCTTCTCAGCTGAGCACCTATGCATAAAGGCCCAAAGGCCCCATATGCCCCATATGCCCCATAGAAGGAAAAAGACAGGAAATCAAATCATGTTTTAGGTTACATTTTTGCCCTTTAATTTTGTCAAGAGAGTTTCCAAGGCTATTCATGACACTCCTAAGTGTCCATGGAAGGAAAAAGGATCAATAACAAATGGGTACCCACAAAAGGTCAGGAGTCAAACAATTTAAAACAAATGGGATTACTTCCCTGACTGGGAATTGAACCTGGGCTACAGCCACAGGAGCACAGAATCTCAGCCACTAGACCATAGAGTGCAGGGCTTTTTATAAATCCTACAGGGGATCAAAAGCAGGCAGTTTGAGCATAAAAATTATTTTAGCTTTGTTTCAGATCATGTTTTTGCTCTTTAATTTTGTCAAGAGAATTTCTAAGGCTAGCCATGAAACTATTGTTTTTATATTTTAACTTAATCTTTTTATAAATACAAAGAAGGCATTTGTTTAGGATGAGAGATCTCTAATATATTTTTAAAATTTAGGAGGGTAATTTAAAGGATCTGTTTTCTGGCCATTGACATTTAGAATTTTCAATGGTGTACTCATTTCACAATCCAATAGCCTCTTTATGGAAAGTCCAGAATGTAATTTTTCAGGTGTAGGGTAATTTTTTTTTTTTTTTTTTTTTTTTTTTTTTTTTACCAGTTAAGAACAGGTGTTTCCTGGAAAGGGTAGAGAAGAGGTAATGCCAAATATCCCCCTACGCAAAAAGTTCACTCCCAGGAATAGGCGAAGTTGGCAAAAGACTCTTGTTGCCACAGATGGTCAGGATGATGGTGTTTGTACATATGCTGCCTCCAGCTACCTACAAGTCTGTGGGGGGTTGCTAGTCACAGACCTGTCAATCTGTGACACTGGGCAGACCCTCCTGGAATTGACTTCTCCAGTACTAACCAGGCAACAAGGGTTGAGATGAGAGAAGCCCCACAGCGACTTCTTTTCTTTCTTTCTTTTTTTTTTGAGATGGAGTCTCGCTCTGTCGCCCGGTGCAGTGGCGTAATCTCGGCTCACTGCAACCGCCGCCTCCCAGGTTCCAGCGTTTCTCCTACCTCAGCCTCCCAGGTAGCTGGGACTACAGGCACGTGCCACCACACTCAGCTAATTTTTTGTACTTTTAGTAGAGACAGGGTTTCACTATGTTGGCCAGGCTGGTCTCGAACTCCTGACCTCGTGATCTGCCTGCCTCGGCCTCCCAAAGTGCTGGGATTACAGGTGTGAGCCACTGCGCCCAGCCCCCACAGTGACTTCTTAAGACAAACTCCTCCAAGAACTTGACATATTCAGAACAAAATGTGTGTTGAAGCCAGGCACTGCAGCTCATGCCTGTAATCCCAGCACTTTGGGAGGCCAAGGTGGGAGGACTGCTTGAGCCCAGTGAGGCAGAAGAATAGGGTCTGGAGATAGGGAACATAAGGCTGATTCACGCTCACTTCCTAGAACTAAATCAAATGGAGACACTTCAGCGATGACAGGAAATACCCTCTCCATTTACATAGGGCATACACTGAGTAAATGACTTTGTAACTTTACTTCATCCTCTTCATTTACATAGGACATACACCAGGTAATCAATGGAAACCTCTAGAGGGTATTGAAACCCCAGAACATTCTGTAACGGGGCTCTTGAGCCTCTGTGCTCGGCCCGCTCCCACCCTGTGGAGTGTACTTTCATTTTCAATACATCTCTGCTTTGTTGTTTCATTCTTTCCTTGCTCTGCTTGCACATTTTGTCCAGTTCTTTGTTTAAGACTCCAAGAACCTGGACACCTTCAACCGGTAACACCAGGAGTTCGGGACCAACCTGGGCAACACAGCGAGACCCTGTTGTTTTTTAATGTGTGTACTTTCATTGGGACAGGAAAGAAACCTTGTCTCTATAAAAAATTTCAAAACTGGCCAGGTGTGGTGGCAACCACCTGTAGTCCCAGCTACTCAGAAGGCTCAGGTGAGGGGACTGCTTGAGCCCTGGAGGTTGAGGCTGCAGTAAGTCATGATTATGCCACTGCCCTCCAGCCTGAGTGGCAGAGCAAGACCCTGCCTCCAAAAAAGTATG